CTAATAAAAGTTTGCCACGCCCACTCTAACGCCCAAAAACCCATTAAACGCTTAAACCTGGCTAGCGCCTACATTTCCGCCTTTCATGGCCCGTGGTACCACGGTAGCGCCATCTAACGGATGACTTTGGAACAGCTGACCAAGGTGCTAATTCGAGCGGCGAAAAACATACAAGAAGGCATATTTATATTAAGTTGTTTAGCTGAGTAACGGGTATTTAATAGTCGAGGCACTCGACTATAGCGTTCTCTCTTGTTATGTATATACAATGTAAAAAATTAGTGTAACTTTGTTTGGTCTTTAAGCGGCTATTTACTTGTTCGCTCGCATAAACCTGTGAAGACTAAATAGCTGTACAAACATGTTTTACACAAAATCGATAAGATACGCTCCAAAATAACCTTGGTTCCCGAACCGCTGAAAGAATTGGAATTTTTACTGTCGTTGTTTTTACGTACGGCTAGTCCAATTTTTTTTTAGCTTTTGAAATGGCCGATACTTAAGGGTGGTCTAAGCAATAGGTTTAGACCTTTTGTTGATTAGTAAATTTCTAGCCAGACTAAATAACGTCTGATCTTAAGAAGAGCTGTATAAATGTCTTCTCTTGCTTTGGAGACTCCGTAAGAATTTGGTTTTTCTTAAACAGGTCCGTTAGCGGAACAGCAATCATTGCATTGTTATCTACAAAACGTAGCAGACTGGTACAGGGGAAGAAATCTATGTGCGCCTCGAAATCGTCAATAAAAATGAAAGGATTGTCCAAGTATACGAATACTTCGGCACGCAATCAAACGTTGCTGAAAACTTCACTGGTTAAACTTTCTTTTGCTTGCAAAAACGGCTTGTGAGTTCTGATTTGTTCTCTATGACTGGCTACCGTATTATTGCGTAAATGCAGAAGTTTGTACTGAAACTTTGGCCTCGAATGCCGTAAGAGATGTCTTACTAATGATTCTTCTGAGATCGGATTGCTAAAGCGAACTACTAGCTTTTTCCCTTAAAATTGGTATGGTCCATGTCAAAGTCCATGTCAAATGTCCATGTCAATGTCTCTTTGCTGGAACTTATTTCCAAACTCCCTGCAAAACTCGATCCAATTGAGCAGATGCCGACGATAAATAATTGCAAGTGATCGGAAAATAGACGATCTCCGTTTAAATTCTATCGAAATAATAGCTGCACTCGATACCGAAATTCCTCGACCTACAAACCGTCGTTGGATCCATCAATATTGATGTTCTGATTTGTCCTTTGAATAATATGCGGCACTTTATCTGGGTGCTCTGATGAATTTAATCTTCGACGTTCTAAATATTAAGACAATTATCTTGAAACACTGCCTTGTATGGTCCTGATCCTAAGTCATCCTCCTTTGTGGTGTTTGAATCAAATGGAATTACATGGCTGTATCTCCAATGCCGTTCTCCTTTACATGTGTTTCTGCCCCTTATACTGCTTGCTCTGCTTCTGCTCGTATTACTGTCAGTCCGTAAATTATTATTTGCAGCTCCACCCTGATCCTGATTGCAGACTGGACACCCATTCGACACATGAACGTAATTACTAATGTGATTGTGGTGAAATTTATAATCACATGGTGTATATGCTGTTAAATCGTTCGCCATCGTGGTTGCATACAAATTGTACAAGACTTAATCTCATCGCCCACCGTGAGCAAAAGGTTGAGATTACTGTGGCCCACTGACATTTCAAAATCTAAAAGAAATAATGTATGTCAATAGCTTCAACACTGCGCGAAATATCTTCAATTCATCCAAGGTATATGCGATTGTTCCTATGGGAGCTATAGGATAAGACGTCCGACGGGCCGCTTTTTAAACTTGATCTGCTTACACATGTATTAGGACGACTGTGAAAGTTTCAGATCCCTAGCTTTTAAACTGAGCACGCACAAGGTATTGAAACAGACGGACAGACGGCTATAGATGGCTATATCGACTCCCCTATTGATCCTGATCTGGAATATATTTATATTTAACGTCTCCTTCACTGCGTTGGAAACTTCTGACCAAAATTATAATACCTTCTGCAAGGGTATAATTAAAGTTGGTCCGTGCTTTTATTTACAATGGATTGTTTGTTATATACATACATAAAAAAACATATTTTTCTCCAATGACTTCGGGAATATACTCTCAAGACGTTATTCTATCGATCTATGAAAAAAAAATCGATTTTCTTTTAAATGAAAATTTACATGAGAAGCCCCCCTTAATACTCTTGTGAAAGATTAAATTGTCTACAACGTTTTGCTATTCCTAAGGAGTAAAAAAGAAGGACTATAAAATTTTTGAAACATGTTTGCTGTAAACATCATAAAACGAGATATTAAAAGAACGGTTGGCTGTGCCCGATTATCAATCGCGATTCCTAGACACCTGGTCCTTTTTACCTTCGTCTACAGAAAATTTATGTTTCCTATTAATTTAAAAAATGTCATGTTGATATGGTCGCTCATTTGTGCGAATACGTTAGCTCTCGAACTGTGGTCGCTTTTCCTGACAATAAATCGGTCGAGTCTGATAATATGAGATTATGATAAATATAATAATCGGAGAATACATACGTAATTCCGACGACAAAGGTTCGGTGGGCCCTTCGGAGATGCTGTCTTATGTCTTATTATAATACCTTCTGCAAGGGTATAATTAAAGTTGGTCCGTGCTTTTATTTACAATGGATTGTTTGTTATATACATACATAAAAAAACATATTTTTCTCCAATGACTTCGGGAATATACTCTCAAGACGTTATTCTATCGATCTATGAAAAAAAAATCGATTTTCTTTTAAATTTTACATGAGAAGCCCCCCTTAATACTCTTGTGAAAGATTAAATTGTCTACAACGTTTTGCTATTCCTAAGGAGTAAAAAAGGAGGACTATAAAATTTTTTAAAACATGTTTGCTGTAAACATCATAAAACGAGATATTAAAAGAACGGTTGGCTGTGCCCGATTATCAATCGCGATTCCTAGACACCTGGTCCTTTTTACCTTCGTCTACAGAAAATTTATGTTTCCTATTAATTTAAAAAATGTCATGTTGATATGGTCGCTCATTTGTGCGAATACGTTAGCTTTCGAACTGTGGTCGCTTTTCCTGACAATAAATCGGTCGAGTCTGATAATATGAGATTATGATAAATATAATAATCGGAGAATACATACGTAATTCCGACGACAAAGGTTCGGTGGGCCCTTCGGAGATGCTGTCTTATGCTATTTTATTAAAATTTCATCTAATATAATTTTTTGACGACCTGATCGTGAGTGTTTTACGTGATTGATTTTAACAGTGATAATAAAGGGATGTAACATAACATTAATATTTAAAAAGTTTAATTTAAATAAAAGGTTGTCTCATCGTATAAGTTTTTTATTATTGTTCTTGCTCTGAATGAGAAGGGACATAAATCAATAAATTACCTACAGTAATTGACAGCTTTTTTGTTTACTTAAGGTAAACATAAAATAAAAAGTTGAATATCAAAAAAATTAAATGCAGTTTTCAACTCTAAATAACAATAACATTTGTCGCCAGTTTACATTTGTAGGTTTACAACTACAAATTTAAATTTAACTCATTTTAAAGTGAAAACCGAAATTTTTGCTTTGACACTGTGCCATTTACGCAAGCACACTTAGGTTTTATTTTATAACTTAGTTTTTCTCTTTTAATAGGCCTCAGCTGCGAAAAATCGCCAATTATCGCTAAAGCTATTAATAACTTATTATTTATGTCATTAATGAAAACATTGTCATTATCTAATGTGACCAACAATTATTTTTAAGCTATGTGAACTAATTTATTACATTCTCTCACAATTACGCAGAAAATTAGTTTTTACTCGCAATAGGCATTTGGACAACAAAATTGCATCCATTTTTTAAATTGACCTGCAATGTATTTATTCTTGAAGTAGGTTGAACATTTCGATGTACGACTGTACGTATACGTTATTATTATCACGTACATATGTTTATCGAAAACATGCCAAAAATAACAAAATGTAAGCCTTTTTTAATTTGTGTTTTTATAATAGGTTATGCATGTGCTATTAATATATTTTGTGTTCAAATTTATAAATACAGTAGGGGCTGTCATTTATCAATCATGAAAAATAATGTTCACTAAACATACAAACTTAAACTTACAAACAATTATTACATAAGAAAGTTTTTATTTTATAAGACAACGTATGTTATTTGGATTTTGTGTATTTATTTATAAATATACATATATAAGTTCTTGCATTTGTGATTATATATAAATAAATATATATATATATTACAAATAATTTATTACTAGAACTGACTAAAGCAAGCCAATGCTTATGTACCTTTTCGGAAATAGCAAAAATGTATATGCTGATGATCTTATTGGCTCAAATCGTTCAAATGAAGCTATAGGATTTCGTCACCAAAGCCTACTAAAATTTCCATAAATTCTAATAATATGCATTATGAATAGAGTGCTCATATATGGCAGCTATATAGCATTGGGGTCCGACTTGGATACAATTAAAAAGGAATTGCAAAAATTGTGAAAGCGACTATATTTTAAGTAAAACGCCGTTGGTCCAAAAGTTTGTAAAGAAAATACCCCCAAATACCTCTAAAACTGAGATACAAGATAATAAGGACTAAGCCTATACCAACTGGCCTGATGATGCTTAAAAATAAATATTTTGTATAGGCTCGGGAATGCACTTCCTGAATCTACATTTCCCTGCAAGCCAAATTTATAAAACCTTTTGCAAGGGTATTAATATATACTTATAACGCATTTCCTTTTCAATGAATCTATGTATTTATATATAATGTTTAGATACATGCAATATAAATAATGTTGCCAAAGTGTACGATTTTTGGCAAAAGGTGCAGAAAATTTAGTTAGTCTGAAGTTAGCTATTCCGAAGGTAAGGAGCTAATATTTACTAGGCAACAACTTTCAAAGTAAAATTTCTATTTATAGAAACTATATATAAGAATATATTTATTATCATACATTGACAAATGGGTACATATATATTATTTCAGTATGTATTTAAACTTAAATATATATTATTTCTAGTTTCAACATTTTTATGAGGATAAGTTGAAAACATTTAACGTCATAATGGCTTATTCCTGGGATAACCGTGTCGATTTTGTTGTTCGGTATATGTATGGTAAGTATAAGAATCTTCCAATCATAGTTGAACCATCTATTTTTTTAAAGATAATATAAACTACTATTATTGTAAGATTAGTATAAAAATATACAGTTTTTAATAACTTAATGTGAAATGACAAGGTATCCTGATAGACAATCCGCCTTTATTAAAGAATCTTAGAATTTAATTCATGAGATGTAAAAAAGTATATATTTTGTGTATAAAGTCCATGGCACTATGCCAGTAATAGCTGATTTTGGGTACATTGTAATAATTGAGCTACATTATTTTGAAAAAGAATTTTTTTTACGCCGGTACTGGTTTTTACTTTAAAATAAAATTGGAAAAAGTGTGGGTTATTTTTGTCAAAAAATTCTTTCTTTTAAAATCGCTCGATACACAACAACATTTAATGATAAGTTTTCCTGATGGATTTTAGGACGGCATTTATGTTTTCAATTACCCAATTCACTGGAATAGTAAAAATTTTTACAATTAGTGCTAAAAATATCTAGACTTTCATAAAAACTGTAATTTTTTCTTTTGAAACATAAGCTTAGTTTGTTAATTTAATTCCAAAGCCAAGCAGGCTAAACAATATATTATGTATAACGCAAAACTTAAAATGCTAATAAAGAAATCTACCCGCTCGATCAGGATTATTTTGTTTTGACACTCTTGCGAAAGTTGCACTTACTCTCTAATAACTTCAAATCGGTAAAAGATATTTTGATGACTTGTACAAATATTAAATGTATTTTCTTTTAATGAAAACAATAAATTTTGTTTTTGATGTGCACCCAGCCAGAAATTCGGTCCTTTGAAATAAAGTTTCCCAATTGGCACAATTTGATTCAAAATGACTAATCGGTTGACTAGAACTGGAGATAAAACTTAAATTAATCATTTAAGAAGTGGTACCTACAAAAAACTTTTCATAATTAAAAATTAATTAAACTTATACATATATTTATTTTTCTAGAAACTATTTTATTTCGAAACAAGAAAGGAAAGCTAACTTCGGGCGGAGCCGAAGTTGATATACCCTTGCAGAATACTCTGTAAATTATATTCTCCAAAATTATTCATATGATGCATTCTTAATACTCATAAAAAATCTTAACTTTCTAACTTTAAAAACACAAAAGTTATGGCATTTCCGATCAATCAGTTATATGGCAGCTATAGAATATAGTCGGCCGATCCTTATGAAATTTGGTAGGTCGGATTGATTGGCCAAATATAAAACCCATAGGAAATCCCAGCTTCCTAACTTTACAAACACAAAAGTTATGGCATTTCCGATCAATCAGTTATATGGCAGCTATAGGATATAGTCGGCCGATCCTTATGAAATTTGGTAGGTCGGATTGATTGGCCAAATATAAAACCCATAGTAAATCCCAGCTTCCTAACTTTACAAACACCAAAGTGATGGCATTTCCGATTAATCAGTTATATGGCAGCTATAGGATATAGTCGGCCGATCCCGGCCGTTCCGACTTATATACTGCGTGCAAAGGAAAGAAGGGTGTGTGCAAAGTTTCAATTCGATAGCTTTAAAACTGAGAGACTAGTTTGCGTAGAAACAGACAGACGGACAGACGGACAGACAGACGGACAGACGGACATGGCTATATCAACTCAGGAGGTGATCCTGATCAAGAATATATATACTTTATATGGTCGGAGATGTCTCCTTCACTGCGTTGCACACTTTTGACCAAAATTATAATACCCTCTGCAAGGGTATAAAAAGTTAAAATCTTAACTTTCCATTTTACTTTTTAAATTAATTGAAATTATATCATACTTTGAATTTTTTGAGTAAGCAATAATGTATTATACATTTATAGAATGCTATTCGAGTGTCGCAGGGGATTATTTTATACCAAATCCCATTAAGAGTGAGAATTTTTCATTTCATTAGAACCATTTTAAATCAGTTAACATCAGGAATTTTTATATTTATATATGGCTTGCGGCTAGCCTGATAATAAGAGCAAGGTATAAAGAAAGTATTTCACAAGCCATTTAAAGCTAAAACCATTGCAGAGGGGGCCCAAAATAGTAAATAAGTAAACTATTTCATAACAACGGCGGTTTAAAATGTTTCCTGCTTGACAATAAAGACGTTTATCAAATGTTGGCACTGTAGACAGTTTTATTATCAAAATGTCATCCACATCGATATTGAAAAATCGAAAATTGGCGATTGAAGGTTATTTTACCATTCCTAAGCTTTATAAAAAATTGATTTTGCATCAGTTCCTTTCTATGTACGCAATTTGGGATAAAGATCTATTACGCTTTTTCATGCCCAAAGCGGATTAAATTTGCTACAGGATGGTATAATACTTGACTTCATTTACAATTTTTTTTCACCTTTTCTGTTTACTATGTCTGATTACCCAATTACATAAAGAGACGTTGCACGTTGGCGCAATGGAACAAAGAACGACGAAAAAAATTAATTTTTCATGAACACAAAAGGGTATTATAATTTTGGTCAAAAGTGTGCAACATATCTGACCCTATAAAGTATATATATTCTTGATCAGGATCGCGTCCTGAGTTGATATAAGCATGTCTGTCTGCCCGTCTGTCTGTCCGTCTGTCCGACTGTCTGTCCGACTGTCTGTCCGTCTGTCTGTCCGTTTGTCTGTTTCTACGCGAACTAGTCTCTCAGTTTTAAAGATATCGAATAGAATCTTTGCACACCCCCTTTGTTCCTTTGCCAATAAATATAATTTACAGAATATTCTGCAAGGGTATATCAACTTCGGCTCCGCCCGAAGTTATCTTTCCTTTCTTGTTAATTATGTTGTTTTGGGTATTTATTCAGTGTGATTTATTACATGTGAAAAGTACCATCTATTTTGTCAAAACTAAAAGAGAAATATATATTTCGATAGAGAAGCCAAATACAACAACTCGTATCCTCTTCCCCGTATTGTTCAAATTTTTGATCAGTTGATGGGGGCCCAACGTTTTAAGCACCTATTGATGCAAATTTGTGCACAAAATTAAATTACCGTGTTATATTTGAAAAAAAAACAATATTTTATATATTTTTACCACTCCTATTTTTTGAATTAAAAAGAAAATAATAATGTATTCTTTTGTAACAGTTTAAATTTATTTTCCAAATAGATGTATAGATTATATTGTTTTTCCAAATTATTCGAGTCCGCTTTGGTTTCTTTTTAAATTCTTTATTTATGATTTTTATTTAATTCATATTTGGAGCAGAGCAGCCGTTGGAGCTAAAAAGGGTAAGTCTCGTAACGGCGCTGCCAACAGCGGCAGCGGAGAGACGACCTATATATTCTTAATATATATGTATATGCTCACTTAGTCTGGAGCGCGGAATTATGCAAATTAATGATATTTCCATATATTTGGATATTTAATAATTGTTATGTGGAGCGGAGCTGCCACAGAGAAACAAAGTTGAGTTAAGTTTATTTATATTTATTGCGAGGAGGAACCGCTCGCTCGCTTCATCAAATCATAACTGAATACAGGAATATAAACTTAAAGCTAACAAAAGGTTTTCTCACAGCGGCTACGCAAATATGCTGAGTTGGCCGTCTGTGCGGATGCAAACAGTCCAATACTGGGTCAGCAAAGAATCCGATGCATGGTCGCGGACTTATTGTCCGGTTAACTTAGTTAACTACCCCTCCTTCAAGATTTAGGCCGCCCTCAGCCGACCCTATCTCAGCGATTACCTCCCTCAATTGGGCTGCTGATTTCTTTGCGTTAATGACTCGCTGGCAGGTGAGCAAAATACAGATCAGAGCACAGCATACCGCTACTACGATTAGCGCTACCTGATACGTTTGGGTGTTGTTGACCTCTTCTCCCACTTTCTGGATGAACCTCAAGTTACGTTCGTTGAGGCGATGAAGGTAAGGGAGGCTCAAAATTTCGTGGATGCCGGTTATGTTCAACAAAGGGGAGCTTGCCACTCCCGGATTCCTTATCCGGATGTTGTCATGGTTGATGAACATGGTTCCGTTAATCACAACACGATCGTTGAATGTTATGAGATACGTGCCACGTAAGGAAACATCCGGGCCATTGTCAACTCGAACCTGCGCTAAACAGTCATTAATTATGATAGTGCCTTCATCCACTTGAGTGACCGGGTACAAGTCACTCGGTTGGGTATCGCAATGCGCAACACCTCCTGCGTGAAGATCTCTGGCGCATGAGCCACTCACAGATAGCTGACAGAATGTGGCACCAGGTGTTGCGGTGCAGTTTTCAACTTGATGGACTCTTCCATCACATTCCGCAACGTTGTTGTTCTTCATCCGTACGATCACATCATGGTGGGCGACTGGGAAAATGGTGACCTTCCTACATACAAACTTTATTACAGGAAATTTTATTATAAAGTACAAGACATTGGTAGATTGAAGTATTTTTACGGACGCAACGGACAAAATATCCCTAATGGGGGTGTTGGTGGGGTCTTCCAGCCAAACTGATTATAAATCTGCATGGTCTAATATGTAAGGGCTGACAATATCGACTTTAGCCAATGCAATGGCGAGCATTAAGTTTTGCAATTCCATCATTAACATTCTATTACGAGCAAGAAGAGCAAGAAGAGTTTCATATGCGTCTTCACAGAGAACGGTCGTGTTTTTGTTTTGCGCTCCGAATTTTCATTTGTCTTATTGAAACCACCGGGGTTTACTTAAATCTCTTCATTGTAGCTACACCTTTAAGTGTTTTCTAACAACTTTCCGTTCGCTTCGCGAGTGCATCGTGATTAACTTGTGTTTAGTAAACAAAAAGTTTTTATCATAATTTAAGTCGGTGCTGGTTTGTTGTTATTGTTTTCTATTGCCCCTCTTTTCAGTCTTTCTCTTCGTCGTTGAGCGCTGTTGGAACGGCACGCACTCCAACGGTCAAATCTCTCAGAGGTGTTTTATACCGGAATTAATCGGTTAATAATCCCGCTCTCTCTCTCTTTTCGTTTCTATATCGTTTCGTGGTGC